CCTTGGGTATTTAGTCTTTTTTGTAACCGCTTTCTTCCAATCAATAAGAATTGTTTGTTATTTTACTTTTATGATAATTTGATAATAAAAAAAAGAATAACATCTTTTAGGAAGAAGGAATTTTATTAAATAAAAAAGTTGAATGGATTGTTATTATTCTTAGTACTTTAACTATGATGTTTTCTTTCTCATTCTCGGCATCAGTTTATTTAAAAGGAATGACAGATAACCCATTTTCTGTTACAAAACCAACAACAACAGTTGCAGTACTTTTTTATGTTATTTCAGTTATTAGTGCAACTGTGATTTTTGTGTGGATTAGTTTTATATTCCTTACTTCATATAAAACAATTAAAAGACAAGAAAATATTAGAAAGGGTATATATTTCTGTCTAGGTTCATTTCTTGTAATTGGACTTGAATTTTTTATGTTATTAATGAGTGATTATTCATCATTCTTCAGCACAAGTTTGTTAATTCTATTGTTATTCAGTTGATTTTTATTATAAATAATATTAATACCATTTAGCATTTACATCAGAAATTATTATTTTTGGAATTAACGCATATTTCTTTGTTATGTTTTATGGCTTTGTTCCTACTTTTGCAAACACTTTCGATGAGGTTATTATCGGTCCTGATAACCAAGATGACACTACACGTCCAATCCTTTTTGACATGAAATAATTAAATCTTTATTTCCTTCTTTTTATTTAATTTATTAGTATAAGCATAACATCTATCTATGAAACATTATTCAAATACATTAACTTACCATATTGACAAATAAAAATTATGTTACATCTTAATTATAAATAACCCTTATTCAATAGTTTAAACCATTATTCAATTCAAATTGATTCAATTCATAATTAAAGAGTCATTAATTTGTATTATTTAAGAATAATTTTCTATTTATTGTTTCTTTTCAGTATTTATTATTTCCTTTTATGTTTATTATTTCATTAATGGTAAGATTTATTTCTTTTAATTCTATTTCTTTGTTTTTGAATCTGTATCAATCGAATTAAATAACTACATTATATTTTTATATATATGGTTTGTTTATTTTCTTCTTTTATTTTTCTTCTTTTAATTATATTTATTTATTTTTTTCTACTTATTCTTCATGAGTTGTTGATACTTTATTGTTATTATTTCTTTATTACTACATTATAATTTGTTGTTTTATATTTCTTATTTTATATTCTTATTATTCTTTGTTTTATTTGTTTTTAAACATCTTCTTTCATTCATTTTATTATTATACTTTATTTATACTTTATTTCTTTTATATTGTTAGATCATTTATATCATGTATTTCTATTATTTCTTATTTATCTCATTTTATATTTGTAAATGTCATTGTGTTATAAATTGTTTGAATTAAATACATTTCATTTGTTTATTTTATATTCGTTTTATTACTCTTTTTTACTTTATTTGGATGTTATTCTTCATTTTATTCATTTTCTATACTTGATTGAATTTCATTATATGTGATTGTTATTCTTCTTCTATTTATTCATTTTTCTTCTTCTATTTTATTCTTTATTTCTTTCTCTTTTAATTATTACAATGAATTGTTATTTTATTCTATAACTCACGTATTTTATTTTGTCATTATCTATTCTTTCATTATTTCATTTCATCTTTTTATATTGAATGTATTGTAATTAATGTATTGAGATGTATTTCTCTTACTATTATTAATTTATTTCATATTTATCATTGAAATGTAGTTGTTGTGATTTTTGTTATTTCTCTTTAATGTCATTTTCAATTATGAATTTTTAATTTATCTTTCTGTTTTATTTAATTATTCATTTGAAATACGAATATTCAATTAATTTATCTGATTTATTAAATTATTTGTATATTATCCATTTGATTAATATTTTATTCTTTCTATTTTATTCTTTTCTTTCTTATTTTCTTTATTTTTCATTTATAGCATATTCTGTTTCTTTATTTGTATTATTTTCTTATATTTTCTTTCTTAACAATTTATATTTATTTTCATTTGTAATTAGTTGATATTTATTCATTATATTTTCTGATATTTTATATTTAAATCAATACCATTTCTTTTATTTTCATGAAACTCTTTGAATATGACTCTATATTTTTATTATCTGTATCTTTTATATTTTCTTTGTTTGTATTTCTTTTATTTGATTTTTAAATTATTTATTTTTCTTCTTTATTTTATTTACTTAATATTTATTATTAGAAATACAAGATAGTAGAATATGTTCTACTGTTGTTATATTGTCTTTACAAAGTGTGTAGTATTTCAATATTTCATTTTTCTTTATTTTTGTTTTTCTATACACACAAAATATTGCTCCATCTTGCATTTTAGTTAATTTGAGAAATGCATTCTTTTAATATTGATTTCCATGCTTTAATTGTAGTAGTTTTATCTACTCCTTTTGACTCAAATCATCTTCTAAAATGTCACTTATTTGATGACACTTCCATTTTTTGATGTATTTGTCATTAATTTTTTATTTCTACTACTACTTCTTTTTCTTTTTTCTTTTCAATATTTTCATTTATTATTTCTTCTCTTTTTATTTCATTTATTTTATGAATTAGTTCATATCAAAAAACTGTCTATATATTCCTCTAGAAGAAATGGGTGAAGGATTAATAAACATTAGAGACAAATATGTTAATGAACTAATTAGAATAATAACGTATTTGTACCAGAGAAAGTGAAATAAGAAATACAATAATGGTAGATGGTATTTCAAGAAATGAATATGGAATAGAATTAAAAAACATTAATTCATAAAATAAATGAAATAAAAAGAGAAGAAATAATAAATGAAAATATTGAAAAGAAAAAAGAAAAAGAAGTAGTAGTAGAAATAAAAAATTAATGACAAATACATCAAAAAATTGAAGTGTCATCAAATAAGTGACATTTTAGAAGATGATTTGAGTCAAAAGGAGTAGATAAAACTACTACAATTAAAGCATGGAAATCAATATTAAAAGAATGCATTTCTCAAATTAACTAAAATGCAAGATGGAGCAATATTTTGTGTGTATAGAAAAACAAAAATAAAGAAAAATGAAATATTGAAATACTACACACTTTGTAAAGACAATATAACAACAGTAGAACACATCCTACTATCTTGTATTTATCATAATAAATCACAAATGGAAAAACATGACAATATCGGCATTATCATATTGATTAATAAGAAAATATACATGAAATAATCAATATAAAAAATACTTCATATGAAACAATATTCCAATATAAAGACATCAAAATGATATTGAACAAACAAATAATACATAAAAGTGATTGATAATATCACAAAATACCAGATATATGTAATAGATAAAAAGAATAAAACTAGTCTATTATTTGATATGAATAATGTATATCACAATTAATTGAGTTAAAATGAAAAAAGAAACAAGTATAAAGAAATAACAAACAAAATAAACAAATAGAAAAATAGAAAAATAATTTTAATTAATGGATTAATAAATATCTCAAGCATTAAATTAATTAAAGAATTAAAATATAATGATAATATTAAAGAAAGTGAAATTATTGTGATAAACAACATGAATGATGTCATAGTGCATTTGTTCTACTATATTAGAATATCGTCTGTAAATATGCTAGAAACATACACAGGTTGTGAATATCTTCCACAAACATGGAACAATAGAAACATTTCTTTCATTACTTATTTAATTCCTTTTTATTTAATTCTTTTGCTTATTCTCATAATAAATTAATCTGACTTATTTTACCATCTAATGCAAATGCTCTTACTAGCTTTTTATTAAACAAAATATTATTGAAATTGAACAATTAATGAAAGAAAATGGTGTACTAACCTAAATACATAAAAACAATAGAATATACCATTCTATTCATTTGACTCTTATTTATTAATATATAGAACTAAATCATTAATGGAATTGACTCTTCATAATATTGAAAATAACATAAATGAAGAGTTTTATGATGACTTTGGAAATTCATTCCATTGACACTTAAAAATATTCATTTCACAACATATTCCATAAAAACTATTAAAACACAAAACAAGAAATAATTATAAAATTCAAAAATTTATATTTATCATATTCTTTTCAAAATGTTCTTAAAAGTATTGAAGAATCAAAGATTGATATAATGAATAAAAAGACTTAATAGATGGAAGAAGAGATATAAACAATGAATATCAAAAGAAAGAATTAAACAGGGATACAAGTCATTTTAGGATAAGTAAATTCACTCAAGATATGATTTTTCACCATTTGACTAAAAAGTGAATAAATGAAAACCAAGAAATAAAAACATAACAAACACAATATTCATGATATAAGTAAAAGCATATTTCTTAACCCACTGAGTCTGAGAAATTAAAGAAAAATCACCAAGAATCAAAGGATTATTGTAAAAAGAGAAATAAACCGAATGACAAGGATATTGATATAAGTTCAAAAGAAATACACCAGAGAATGTAAAGATATATTTAATACGAAAAGAATGACGGGGAAATGGACTAGGGAATGTAATTGAACCATCTAAATATATTGTTATTGGTGAAGAAGAATTTAAAGAAACAAGAAGTTGAGAAGAAAGGATTGTAGAATAATTGTCAGAATGAGAAGGGAAGAAAGGAAGAACAGAAGTAATTGAAGGACGAAATAAAGTCAAATCAACAGAAGTGATTCTTAAAGAAGTAATCAAAGGAGGGAGTTTTGATGAGAGAATGATATTGTTGAGTAACATGAGTTGAGGAGATAAAGGAGTTAATAACGAATGAAAAGAAGAAACAAAATGATTAATGAAAAGATTGAAAGAATCAAGGATGTTCATAGATGATTTTGTTAGGAGATAAGTAACTAAAGAGGCAGAGTGTGGTGGTGGAATAAAAGTGATAGGTTGGGTGAGATATTTTGTAGGAGGGTCAAAAAAGAGGAGAAAGGTATTAGAAGAAGAAATACAAGAACGAACATTTACAATAGGAACAACATGAGAGTCTAGAATAAGAGACTTGTTTGAAGGGGAAGATGAGAATAAAAGAGCTGAAGAAAATGATTGATCAAGCAAGGTAATTGGAATATGGTAATGATGCTGAATGTCAATAAGTGAAAGGGAAGGATTCCAATGGATTATGTGCTTGAAGATACAAAAAAGCAAGAGTAGAACGAGAGATAAACAAAGAATCATCACTTCAAGAAAGAAAAGAATGTTATTTATAACAATGTCTTTTCATCAAAAATATGATAAAACACAAAAAAACACGTGGGGGTGAGTCAAGGAAGAACAAGTTGAGTTGTCAGAAGTTGTCAAAGAGTTATGGTGAGGATGATGTGCTACGTCACAACGGAAGGATAAAAAGCAAAGATAAAAAGGAAGGATAAAACTGAAAAAATAAAATAATGGAAGACAAGATTAGAGTTATAGAAGATGTTATAAGAGAATATGAAGGGGAATTTGACGAAGAGAAAACCGAGACATTGATGAAGTTAATTTCAATTATGGAGGAAGTTCATCAAAAGAGTGAAGTTGTCATTCCACAGAAGAAAGTAGTATATGAAGCAATTGAGAATCCAAACAAAGAGACAGTTAGTAATTTTGTTGCAGCAACATTTAATGAACCATTTGGAGTAGACATCGAAAAAACAATGGAAGAGTTTGAGAGGAAGAAGAGAAGTGTTGAAGAGCGAATGAAAATGATTGAAGAGATGATGAGACATAACGAGGTTAAAGAAAAAATAGGAAAAGATGGGATTAAGCAAATAGAAACAACAATTCAAAAGATTGAGAATAAGTTAATTGAATGTCTTCGCAAAGAGATTCAAAAGGATAGAGTGAAAGAAGAAGAAACAATACCAAAAGAAGAAGAAACAATACCAAAAGAAGAAGAAACAACACCAAAAGAAGAAGAAACAACAAAAATTGCAGTTTCACAAGAAAGTGATGATAAGAAAAGTTGTAAACAAAAAGAAAGAACAACAAAAGAAAGTGATGATAAGAAAGGATGTGAAGAAGAAGAAAAAGAGGTAGACAAAAAATTTGAGAAACGAATTAAAGAAATCAAAGAAGAAGAAAAAGAAAGACGAGAGAAATATTTAGAATTTAAGAGGAAATATGAAGAACATGGGAAGAACAAGGATTATTATCTTGAACTGAAGAACCCAAGTAGTGAATGTGAGAATGAAATCAAAATAGGAGTTTGGATGAATCAAAAGAACAATAGTATTATGGATGAAATGGATACATATGAAGGGTTGAATGAAGCAAACAAGAAAGTCAAGAAAGAGATAATAATTGAGATGGAAAAAGAGATTGAAGAAATTGAAAGAATGGTTAGTGATATGAAAAATACAAAAATGGAATTAGATTCAATCAAAGAAGAAAAGAAAGAAGTTAATAAACCAATTAAAATCGAAGGGAATAATCAGAGATATGTTAGACCAGCACATAAAGTAGAAGATGATGAAGATAATATAAAAATTGAAGTTAATAAAAAAACAGAAACAGACAGAGTATTTGAACAAATTAATTGGAGGAAAATGGAAATGGGAATTCAATTTAAAGCAATTGATAAAGGAAAGTATTATGTGATGTATGCAAGAATTAAAGGAATGAGAGATGAAGACATTGATGTAAATATCACAAAGAATGGTAATTTAAGTATTAGTGGAATGAAAATACCAAATAAAGAAGAAAAGGAAATGATAATGAGGATGGTTAATCACCAACTTAGAGGAATTAGTGAGGAAGAAAAGGTACAAATTATATATCAATATTGCCAAGGGAAGTATGGAAGATTTAAAGAAATATATAGTATACCAAAGAATGTTGATATAAAGAAGATAATCGTCAGTTATACAGAAGAAGGTATTCTTCAAATCAACTTACCAAAATATATTGACTTCAATGAAATATACGACCCATTTGCTTTTATATGGTAATTCATTGATTTTATTCATTTTAATTTCATTCAACATCTCATTTTCATTTTGCATTTCTATTATTCTTGTGTTTTTTTTTAACCTATTATTATGTTTTATTTAATAATAAATAATGACTATGTGGAAAAATAGACAAAAACACTCTCAACAAAAACAAGAATTAAATAAAATAGAAGAATAAAAATAATGAAAGATAAAAGGTCAATTATTATATATATCCATAATTGAATTTTATGATTATTAAGAAGTGTTTATTTCATTTTCTTCGTTATTGTCGATTTGTGTAATAGAGTTCATTTCTAACACTCTCGTATTAGATTGTTCTTCTTCTAATGTGTTGCCAGAATTGAATATAAAACATTAAATCATTCATACTTTTTATTATTATTGTTCGTAGGATTTTGGAAAAGTCTAATTGTAATTTCAGTGTTTTCAATCTTCTTACTGATTCTTTGTGAATTAATCTATTTATTGATAATATTACAGGTATTATTTCTACATATATTATTTCTCTATTATTTCTTATTTTCTCTTGTAATTCTTTGTATTTATTTTGTGAATATATTTTATTTCTATATTATTATCTTGAAATACAGCAACATCTATAATATATCATTTATTTTCTTTCATATTTTGATATTATATATCTGGTCTTCTAGCATGGAATGATTTATCATTACTCAATTAATATTTTTGTAAGTTCTGAATTATTTCATTCTTATTAATACTATTATGAGTAATATTAAAGTCAATTGCATCAAATTCTTAGAGTTTTTTGTTATTAATATGTGTTTATATTTTTTAATATTTATGTTTTGATATTGTTTGTATCTTCTTAGTGTTTTATTTTGACTTTTATTTCTATTATGTTAATACTGTTTATTTCTATTGAAGTTGTTATTATTATTAAAGTGTTTATGACGATGATTATGAATGAAGTGATGAGTGAAATGATTTATATCATCTATGTTGTGATAGTTATGGTTATAATTCTTATTGTAATGATTAGTGTGATTATTCATGTATCTCTGTCTATACAGATAATACCTATTTTCACTCATTCTTCTATTATTTATATTTCTTTGTTGATGTGAATTTCTTCTTTTTTGGTTATTTGTTTTTCTATATTTTTTGTTGTATCTCTGATATGACAACTTTTTTTTTCTATTATTTTAAATAATAATAAAAATTTTTAGAATAACCTTCTAATTTTAATAAAAAAAATGCACGAAGTGGGGTTTGATCCCACGCATCTTTCGATATCCACGCCTAAAGCGGACGCCTTAGACCACTCGGCCATTCGTGCTTTTCCCTTATAAATGAATTAATATATTGAAATTATAATTGACTACAACTTTTCTATTGTTAAACAGTATATCATCAAAAAACAATCATCCACATAAAAACCTTTCTTACGGCGTAATAAAAAATGTAAAAAAGTCTTTAAATTAATTATGTCACAAAAGGTTTTTATTTATAAACCTTTGAATTAAATTAAAAGAAATAGGTTGTTAAAATTAAAAATTAGTGAAAGATTATAAAGAATGTGAAGAATTAAAAATTTTTACTGTTAGTTGTATTTACAATTTGATTTTGTTCATGTTGAGAAATTAACTTTTTTTCATTGTCTTAGATAATTTTTCTTTTCGTCTAAGGCATAAAGGATGTATTGTGAATTTAAAACACAGTAAAATATTATTTTTTTGAATGAAGAAATTTAATGACTATAAAATTAATAAATAAATTTTTCTTTGAAGAATTTGAACATTTTTCTATTTATACTTTATAAGGTACATCATTAACTATATCCTTATTTGTATATTTCAGTATTTAATACAACATGAGAAGTATAATTTTGAAAAAAAAACATCATGAATAACAAAAAATGAAGATATTTCTTATAGAATTATTTAAAAAGAAATATATATTACTAAGAAATGAAGAAAATAAATTCAGCTTTTTTATATTTTTATAATTATAAAATTTTTTATTTTTTTTTTCTTTTTAACAACTAAAAATTAATCTTTTTCTTTTCAATTAGAAAAAGAGAACTGATTATTTTGGTATTAATGGAAAAGCAAAATAAATCTCAATCTAATGAATTTGATTTATATCATTTTTTATTTGAGATTTCTATGGATTCATTAGAACCGAAAGAAGTCAGTCAGTTATATAATTTTTCTGAAGAATTATTCATCAAATATTTACCGTTAATTTTATCGTACACTTCAAGCCAAGATAGAGGAAAATACAAATTTGAATTATTTAAGACATTAATTAAAATAGGGTCTATATCAATGAAAGTATTACTTAGAATAATGATTTTGCACCATAATAAAAACTATTGTTTTTGTAAGAGTCATGACTTTCTACAATATATAACATATGAAAGTTCTCAAGAAGAAAAGGAAGAAGTGTTTTCAAAAGAATTTGAATGTAATTTAGTGAATATGATCATATGGAATAAGAACAATTATAAAGAAATGAAAGTGATTGAAGAAGAATTAAATTATCAATTAGAATGGATTGATAAAATGTATTATAACAAACAATGTGAAGGTTCGACACTTTTAGTAACAAATAAGTTAGAAGAAATACGAAATATAACAAATGAAATAGAAATTAAAGAACAAGAAATGGTTCAATATAAATGGAGTCTTTTAATAAATCCATATTTTGGAGAAGGTGAATTAAAAGGAATAAGAGTAATGAAAAAGTATTCAACAACTTGTGCACCAGTTGAATTTGGACTAATAATAAAATTAAATAATAAAATTAAAATAAAAAGAGTTTTGTATAAAAAAGGAGATGATTTAAGAGTTGATTTATCCGCAGAATTATCATTTCATGTTTTTAATTGTATTTGGAATAAATTTATATTTAAGGCATCTCCTCATATTGTTAATAATGAAGTCATCAAACCATTTGCTGAAACTTATGACGTTATTCCATTTAATGAAGGTGGTTTAATTGAAATGGTTGGTTGTTCTAATGAAACTCCGTTATGTTTAACTCATACCCAATTAAGTTGTTGTATTGATGGGAGAACATTTGAATTATATAGTTCAATTCCTTGTAATAAATGTCATCAAATATTAGAAGTATCATCATGGGATTTAAATGATAAAATGAAATTAATCGCTTCACTTTCAGGTGGATTTGTTGCTGGATTTGTTGTTGGATTAAGAGATCGTCATTTAGAAAATATGAAATTTCATTTATGTACTCATAGATTTGTTCATATTGACTTTGGGTATATTCTCAATAAAAAGCCATATTTTGATGCAAACAGATTTGCTATTCCAACAGTTATTAGAAATGAATTACAAAAGACTAAAGTAATAATTGATAATGAAATAATGAATGGATGGGATGCTTTTATTAGTCTTTCAACAATTGGTTATCTTATGTTAAGAAGAAACGTTGGATTTTTAACGAGAATTATTTCATTATTATTTTCATTTGATGAAAATTTTACTGATGAAGCAATTACCCAATGTCTTTCTCATTCATTTTATTTAACATTAAGTGAAGCAACTGCAGTTAATACATTAATTGGACATTTACAAGTATTTTCAATTCAAAAGATGATTAAAGACTCACAACATGAAATTTTACGATGGTGTCGTGGGTTGAATTAATTTATTAGATTTTCATTCAATTAATGTTAATTCCTTGTGACTTTAATTGTTGTTTCACAATACTAACAATTTGGTCAGCTTCTGTTTGAGTTTCAACAACAGGCTTTTCAAGAACTAAATTAATGAGACTAAAATTATTAATAAATGGTATTAAATAACAAACTTTTTCCTTTTGTTGATTCAACTAATACCAATGATTGAGGAGTAAAATCAAGTGATTTTAATGTTAACATGTCGTATTTTAATTCCTTATAATAACTATTTCCCTGGACATACTATATATTTATGACTTTGTCTTTTCATTTCTTTTGAAATAAGATAAAAAAATAACAAACTTTCTTTTCTGATAATTTTATTTCTTCTGGATTAGCAAAATATAATGCTGCCATATGTTGACGAAGTTCACCAACAGTCATGTTTTCATCTACCTCTGTCTCTTCTAATCTATTTAGTTAATATATTAACTTATTTAAATGAAGTAATTCAAACTCAATAGAATATTTATTATTAATGTAATGAATTTTCATATTTGATTATTTTTTTACAGATTTATTCTGAAATTTTTTTTTCTTAAAAAAAAAAAGAAATTATAATAATCATTTATACACCATTTACACTGAAACTTGTTCTTCAATGCTTTTGATTTGGTTTAGCCTATTAACAGCACTCTTACTAAGGTACGGAATTATTGAATTAGTATTTTCTAATACCATTTTCTTTATTTCTGAAAAATTGACAGGAATAGACACAAACGAAGTGTCTGAGCTTTTCATTCCGTTCGTAGTAAATAAATTTATTAACCAATTAGAAATTAGTAAACTTCTTGTTTGAGCAAATCGTTTAAATTCTTTCTTCCATAAACAGTCAACATCATACTGACCATCAAGAACCCATTTAAAGATTAATGAAATAGACTGCAAAGTCATACAAACAAATTCTTTATTTTCTTTAGGGATTGTTGTAACAAGAACTGAACAGAGAAATCGTTTAAGTAATAAATCAGTCAATACATTAGTAGTTTCTCCTGGGAAATATTCAGTAAGTTCAGTCGCTATTTCTGAGATAAATGAAATAAAACTACTAAAAAATAAGAACAATTCAATGGTATGATATCAAATTAATTAACAAACGATGGGAAATCAATCAAAAGGAGTTTTTTAATAAAATACTTCATTAATTCTTTTAATTTTTTAAGTTCTTTAGTAGTAACCTTTTGAGAAATATCCATTAAGTTAATATATATTTTATTTTTATTGATTAAAATAATAATTGACTCAGTAAGACTAACAAATAATTGTTTGATGTCATATTCCATATATATTCTAATAATTGTATTATAGACAGACTCCCTTTTAAACATTAATTTTACTGATTGTGTCTCTTTCATTTCTTTTTTAATAACCCATTCTAATAAATCTATCATTCTATTACTTCCAGAAAAGAATTTAAAAAACATTTTTAACTTATTTTCTGTTTCTTGTTCACTTTTTCCTTTTTCACAAAAAAACTTCAAAACACCAGTAAGAATATCGACATCAGTAGAAAATAATGCCTTAACTGATGAATATTTTTATGTTTTTTTTTATTTAATCAGAGAAATGGTATTTCAAACTTCTTCAAATGTAATATATTCATAAGACATCTAACTTTTAAATATAAGTTATTGTTTATTTTAAGATCATTCGGTTTTTTTTTTCATTCAAAACTATCTTTTTTGGATTATCCTCAACAAAATAATTTTAATTTTTCAATAAAAAAAGAATATAATGATGTTGTATATAGCAAAAAAAGTTATAAAATTAAAAAAAAATAATTTAAAGGAATAGAATTTTCAATCAAAAAAACTATAGAGGATAAGAGTAAATTAATAAAGCAATTATTTAAGTATTAATAGAAGTAGTTTCTATTGTTAATAGCTCAAGGAGAATAATCCACTCACCGAGTCTTCTTCTTCTAGTATTTCTACTGAGTGTGTTTGGTTGTGATAGAAGCAGTATTCCATGACATTTATCATGTTTTTTATTACAAGGTTTTTAATTTCTTTCTCGATGTCGATCTCAATTTTTAATTCTTTAATTAATCTAACACTTTCTTTATTTATTATTCCATTTATTGAAATTACTACTGGAATTATTTTGACATCTTTTAACTTTTCTATTTTCATTAACATATTCTTTAATTCCTTATACATATTCCTTTTCTTCCAAATACGTTCAATTAATATTGTGATATTCAACATTAGTCATATCAAATAATAAACTAGTTTTGTTCTTTTTATCTAATACGTATATGTCTGGTATTTTGTGATATTGTCATTCACTTTTAGGCATTATTTGTTTGTTCATTATCATAGTGATGTCTTTATATTGGAAGATTGTTTCATATTGTATTTTTATATTGATTATTTCATGTATATTTTCTTATTAATCAATATGATAATGCATATATGGTCATATTTTTCTATTTGTGATTTATTATGATAAATACAAGATAGTAGAATGTGCTCTACTGTTGTTATCTTGTCTTTACAAAGTGTGTAGTATTTTAATCTTTCATTTTTCTTTATTTTTGTTTTTCTATACCCACAAAATATTGCTCCATCTTGCATTTTAGTTAATTGTAGAAGTGAATTTTTCTTAATATTGATTGACTTCCATGCTTTCACTGTAGTAGTTTTATCTACTCCTTTTGACTCAAATCATTTTCTGAAGTGTCCACTTATTTGATGGGACTTCCATTTTTTGATGTATTTATCATTAACTTCACAGTGGATTATTCCCATTTCTTCACTACTTTCCGTCATTATTCTCATTTCATCCATATATAAAGTATGATTTGTTTTTGGGAATTTCTCTTCGATGAATTGAGAAATTACATTCATCTGGATGATGAAGAGTAGAGGGGATAAGGAATCACCTTGTAAAATTCCTCTATTTAATTTAATATATCCTAGATATTCATTAAATTTATAACCGATGAATATCTTCCATCTAGTCATCATACTTTCAATAATGTCAATGATGACACCCTCTACATTAAAATATTTTAATGATTCAATAACCCATTCGTGGTTTACTGTGTCATATGCTTTCTTAATGTCATAATATGACTCCACATATTTTGGGTATTTCTCTTCTTTTTGCTGCTTCATCATGTAACTATTAATTATTCCTTCTTTAGCAGCTAAAGATTGCAACTTACATCCCAATTGGTTACTACTAATTTTAAATGATTCATTATTCATGTTAAGTCTTCTGTGAATCTTCTCTTTTAATAATGAGGTAAATACTTTCATAATTACGTTTGTACAACTGATATGACGATAATTAGTTACATCATTCATATCACCTCCTTTGTGGATTAATAAAGTTCTTCCACTTACCATGTCTAATGGGATGTTTTCAGGGAAGTTCAACCATTCATTGAAAATATTAAGAATGGCTTCTCTTGATGATGACATCATTTTCCAATAATACCCATATATAGTGTCTATTCATTGTGCTTTCCAGTTACTTATTTTCATTATACTTGAATTTAATTCATTTATTGTTATAATGACATTATCATAGTTTCTATATCTTTCATTCCACAAGGTGATTTGTTTTATTTTCAATTCTCTTTATTTAATATCACCTGTGTTTCATATAACGATTTCCATTATTCTAAAGTAATATCGTTATTTGGGTATATTTCATTTTTTGGGTCTTTCTTCCTTATTCTAATTTTCTTGTTAGAATCAAACATGATTTTATTTGTATTGATTCTGATTATTTCATTTTTATTAAATTTAATTCTTTATTCATTGTCATCATATATTTTAGGTACTTTATTCTTTCTATTGCTTTGACTTTTATTCCTTCTTCAGAATATTCATTTAATTTCATGATGCACTTGATTCTGTACAATTTCATTGACCAAATCTTCTAGTCTATTTATTTTCTTTAGGATTTCTTTTATTTCATCAAATTTATCTCTTATTATTTTATTTTGGAGATAGAGGTGCATAACCATTGAAATCTTCTTCATATCATCTTGCAGATCCTGCATTCTGCTTCCTGACCATACCCATCTATTATTAATTTCCGTTATTAGTCGGTCAGTTTCTTTTCTTTTCCAGTAGTAATTAATATTGATACATTTTTCTACTTTCATTTCTTTTACTTTATTGATGAGAGTGTTAAGGTATTCTTCATCAATTTCTGTAGAGTTATTCTTTAATATGTTGTTTTTTATTATTGAATTACACTCTACTCTTCTTTCTATTATATCATTTACTTTCATTTTAATGTATTGTTTAGTACTTTCTTTTATTTTATGTGATATTTTAATATATTTAATATATTCTTTTTCATTATTGACATTGATGTTTGTCACTTTTATTATACTTTCTATTTGTTCCCATCTTAATTTCTTATATAATTTCTTATTCAACCAATTAATTGCAAAACAATACAACACTTCAATTAGAATTCTATTTGTTTGTTCTGTTGTATTTCTTGTCTGACTATCATCTCTTGTTTTTTGACAATCAGTGCTTTGCTTTTCTCTTCGATTTCCACTACTGTCTTTTTCATAGGAGTAGTTTCGTTCATCTCCATCGTTCCTGATGATGCTTTCCTCAATACTGGTTGTGTATTTATCACAAGTGTCATCGTTTTCTTCTTCTCTAGTTCCTTCTGTGAGATAAAATTTTCAATATCATCTTGTTGTTTTGATATTATTTGTTTTTGTGCTTCATTTTCTTTTTGTGTGTTGTCTAATTCTTCTCTTGTTATTTCTGCAATTTCTTGGTTTTTAATTGCAATTTCTTGATATTCAGAGATTTGTTTTTCTTTATCTCTTATTTCTTTCTTTAATTCTTCAGTGTTTTTTTCTATCATTTCAATCTTCTTCTCTAATGTGTTTGCATTTTGTTCTAGTATCTTGTTTCTCTTTTTCAACTTTTCAATTTCTTCTTTCATTTCTTCATTTTCTTTTTCTATCTTCTTTTTATTAGCTTGGATACTTCGGATTTTTTCTTCTTTGTTATTTACTTCTGTGATTTTCTTTCCTTCTATCTCATTTATTTTTCCTTGTAATTTTAAATTTCTTTCTTCTAATTTTTCATTTTCTTTCTTCATTTCTTCATAATTCGTTTGAATCTTTCTATTTTGTGTTTTCATTTCTGTAATTTCTTCTTCAAATTCTTTTTTGACTATTTCTTTTGCTTTTCTCATCATTTCTTCTGAAATCGCTTGTTCTTCTTCCATTTTTTCCATGCTGAGTTCTTTAACTTTTTCTTGTAATTCAGTAATTTGATTTTTAAGTGCAAGTATTTCTTCTTTATCTTTTTCTTCTTCTATCTTTTCTTCTTTATTTTTTGTTTCTTCTTGTATTTTCATTATACTTTCTGTTTCATTTATTATTCTTGCAATTTTACATCTATCATTCATTTCTTTAATTTGGTTTTTGTTTTTAATTTCTGTTTCTATAGCCTTAATGTCTTTTTCCTCCCAATCTTTTGTTTTTTCTTTAAACTCTTCTTTCGTCTTTTCAATTATCTTTTTCTTTTTAATTGAATATACTTCTTGAAGAATATCATACCATCTTTTTCTTTTACCTTCATATTTTTTTAGTATTTCTTCGTATTCTCCTTCATTCCATTCACTTGTTATTCTTTTTATTCTTTCTTGTATCTCATTTATTGTTAGCCATTTATATTTGTTATTTGTATAATCTTTATTGTTATTGTATTTACCTTGTTTTTTATTTGTTTTTCTTTGAGTCTTTTGTCTTCTAAACCATTTTTCCTTGGTGTATCGTTTACCTTTATTATTATAATTGTTATGCCATTTATTGCTATTGACATTTCTTTTTTTATTGTATGACCTTAGATTTCTATGTCTTGTTTGCTTTTCTTTACAAGACCCTAAGGTTTTACACAATAGCCATGGCATTAAAATTTGTTGTATTTCCTGCATTGGAAAAGGATCTCTAAATAATAAATAATGAAATAAATAATGAAATAACATATATTTAATTGAATAATAAAATAAATGAAAATACAATATTATTATTCTTTTTATTTTATCAATTTATCATTGTTTCATTTCATATTTATTATCATTATTATCCTTATAATTTGAATAATAGTGTTATTTGTTATTAAAATAAAATAAAGAATATAATTAAATTTATATTGATTCATCATTATTATTCATCATTTCTATTTCATTATTCTTATGATTTATTTTATATTTGAATAAAATAACAAATATTATATTATATTAAAAATAAAATTAAAACAATAAGAAAAAAAAAATAAAAGTATGAAATGAAATGATATTTAAAATAAATAAGAAAGAAGAAGAAATAAACAAAAGAATAAAATTAAAGAATAAAATTATTACAAAACAAATATAATGAATGATATATCATTTAATAAGAGATGAAATATCAATTCAACATATTGAAACAAATAAATAATATGAAATAAATTAAAAATGAATTATCATAACATATTAATAATTAAATAAATAATGAATGATTTTATTTCATTTCATTCATTTGATATTTCATTCTTTATTTTATTATCATTTAATTTGTTTATTATGTATTTCTTATCATTTAAATTATAAAATAAACATTCTTTTTATTCTTTAATAATTCAATTATCTTCTTTCTTTATTTCTTCTTTATTATATATAAAAGCAATTTTTTGGTATTGTTTTATTCTTCTTTAATTCTTCTTCACATCCACATCCATAAAAACATTTATTTCCAAATGATGTAATTGTTGATGGAATATTAATTGATGTTAACGATGTACAATCATAAAAACATCCATATCCTATTTTATTAATATTTGTTGGAATATTAATTGATGTTAATGTTGAACATTCAGAAAAGCATCCATTTCCTATGTAAGTAACACTTGTTGGAATATTAATTGTTCTTAATGTTGAACATTCAGAAAAACATCCATTTTCTATTTTAATGATTGATGGTGGAATAATAAATTTATTAATATCTTTCTTTTCAATATTCTTTCCATTTATCATTTCTAATTTTTTTGGTATTTTAATACTAATTAACACTGGTTCATTCATAAATATTCTTTCTTCACTTATATATTTTACATCTTCTATAGTAAGTGATGTTAATGATTCACATTCTTCAAAACATCTATCTCCTATTTCACTAATACTTGTTGGAATATTAATTGTTGTTAATGATGTACACCCTATAAAACATCCATCTCCTATTTTACTAACATTTGTTGGTATTTCAATTGATTGAATATCATCACATTTATAAAAACAATAATTTCCGAGTGATGTAACTTCTATTGGTATTGTATTTCCATACTCTTCTCTATCTTCTTCTGTATATTCGATATTTTTACAAATATTTCCTTCTTTTTTCTCTTCTAAATATCTTGAATAACTCACTTTATACCATATTATTTGTTTAAATATTCTTCCATCTTCAAATATTTCATCTTTTTCATTATAAATATGAAATGTTTCAATATTAGGAAACAATTTTCTGGAATATTGATTCAATGAAATTGGATTAAAATGAAATCGTTCCATATTCCCTCTAAATCTTTTAACTCCCATTTCTAAATTAATAAAATCATTAATATCTTCAAAATACTTTGAGACAATCATTATTTCATTATATCCTAATTGCATTCTTTCTTTATTATTTTCTTGTTTATTAGTTCTTCTTTTATTTTTAGTTTGAACTTAAATTATTATTAAGATAATCGTCATTCTATTTTTCTTTTTTTTATTTTTTTAATATAAATTATTAATAATTATATTTGTATTAACTTAGCTATTTCTTTATATTTATGTCATTCATTGTTATTTTCATCAACTTCATTTTTATAGTATTTATAATGTATATTTATATATGATCATTTTCTAATGCAGGAAATACAACAAATTTTAATGCTAAC